AATATATGGAAATTTATTAATTTATTTGAGAGTATGAATATATAATATATAAAACCAGAGACAATATAGTAGAGGCTTTTGTGTGCATACCGAGGTTTGAACCTAGACGTGGGTCTGGGAGCGTTATGGGACCATCTTTCGTGAACGCAGTACGGTAATGCCATGGGCTCCCAGGGCCTGTCATCGGCATCGGGTTACGATCAACAACCTGCATTATGAGTTGTAGCCCTCAATTCACATTAAGAACCCATCTATCTATTTTCTCTCTTACATCAAAATGCCCCTAGCTGGGTAATACTTCATTTTCTTTCGTAAATGAAAAAAGCTCAATTTTCATTTTGGTAAAAAGGTCACTACTACTATAGTCACTATATCTCATTCAGTATAATGTTAGGAAGGAATAATTGTAAAAGAGTACTACCTCTAATGCATCATATAAAAAATTGGTTAACTTTTTCTCACACATGAAGTGTAGTCACTAAATATGTCATAAAATGATAAAGTTTGCCTATTTTACCCTAAAAAAGTGATAAAGTTGCCTTTAATATTATATTTTTATTATCTCACATGTCTCTTCTATATTGAATAGGAACAAAAATGAAAAAATCACATTAATTATCCTGCTAAAGTCTTATATTTTGGACCACAATTTTCTTTAACCAATGTCTTATATTATGGGACTAAAGGGAATATTTGACTAATTGCACACGTTTTCTTAATACTAATAAATTAGTTAAAATGGTGCTATGTTCAGGACTTCAAAGAGTGTGTATAATGTGGGTTAAGCGTTTACAAGATATGGGGATGGAGGAGGTAGCTTGAAATAAAAATGAAAAAAATGAGTTTAATGGAAGTGACTTACTCAGTCCATTTGTTGCTCCAATATTGGAAGGAGACTTTCACCCTTTGAGCTGCTGCTATTTTCAACATCAACTTTGCAGATGACACGCCATCCACACCTTATTGAATCTCCTGCACTGCAAGGACCAACTTGAAGTACAAAGGGAATCTGGTTGTACTTCCTTAATTGCACCATATCACGGACATCCTTTGTTAGTTTGCAAAATACGACCCAGAGGTGACAAGACTTTCTTTTCTTCCCACCATTACAATTAGGCGGTGGAATGCGATCGTTTACACCAAAATTATAACGCCACTGCCACACAAAATACGTCCACGCTTCTCTAGAATAAAAGTTACTTTCTAGACGAATGCATAATCCAATTCCCAATATTTCTTCGCAAGGAGGTATGTCTATCATCACTAGAGCTTCGGCAATATGATCCAGATAAAGATCGATTTGATTCTCAAACCATGGCGATATTTCACTTCCAGGAATAATCAGTGATAAATCAAGTAACCCAAGTGGTCGCTCCTAAATCGATAAATAAGCACGTATCAAATTATATAGTATGATTAAACGCAAAATAAATACATATAATTATGTGATGATATATGACTCTGTGTATATACCTGGTCCGTTGAAGCAAAGAGATGTGATAATTGTTCACCTTCCACTGTATCCAATGAATCACATTCTTCTGCATACATCTCACATAATCTTGGTGGAATCTGTGGCAACAACTGAAGTTCCGTGCAAGAATTCATGTCCAGAAATTCCAAATTCAAAAGATTTGATTTCAGCCAGCAGGTAGATTCTTAAATTTGTTTCCACTTAGATCTAAGCTCCCCAACGATGATAAGCCACCAAAGTCATCCGGAATAGATCCATCATCAATACTGCAGTAGCTTAAATCCAATTCTTTTAGTGATTTAAGATTGAACATTGAAGCAGGCAATGTTAAGCCCTTATGAATTGAATGCCTCCAAAATAAGTGCTTCAACAGAAGAGTCATCCTCCAAGAGTTCGACGTTGACCTTTTGCACCCACGAAATGACAATTTCTTGATTTTTTCTAAACCACCAATGGAACAAGTTATTTCTGTTATATCAGTTTCACTTGCATCCAGTTCCTCCAAGGATCCCATTTCATACAACTTCTCTGGTAATCTAGCAAATTTTGAGCACCCAGCAATATCAACAAGGACAAGATGTTTCAAATTGTGAATGCTTTGAGGAGGGCAAACAAGATTTTTGCAACCCCTTAATTTCAGAGTTTTAAGACCAGTCAACAAGCCAAGTGACTCGGGAAGTTTGACTAAATTTGTCTCCCCAGCATCGAGCGTTTCTAGATTTTTCATATTTTTCCCAAACTCTGGGAGAAATTTCACTCGAATGCATCCACAAAGAACAAATTCTTTTAGCGCAGTCATTTTTAGTTTTTTTGGACAATGGGCTGTAAGACTTTTGCAACCTTTCAAGTTCAATACTTGAAGCTTTTTGTGTTGTCCAATTGAAGCATGGAGGTCAACAAGTTTTTCACAACCTTCAAGTTCTAATCTTTCTAGATTTGGAAGTTTAGAGAAATCAGGAGTTTCAATCAAGTTTTTGGAAAAACTCAAGTCCAAAAACTTTAGATTCTTCGAGAACTAGTCAAACAAATATATGAAAACCAATGAAAAAAATATGTATTTTGCTAAGTATGATAATCAATGACACTATCAATAACATCAAAGGATAAGATATCTTACCAAGCTAAGTTTCTTTAATTTGCTATGATGCATTCTAAGATCAACAAGTTCATGCAGTCGAGTTCCAGAAGGAAGAGTGTCTAAAGGATATTTTATCCAATAAAGTACTTTCAAAGCATGAGAAAGACATTTGAGGCCAACAAGAACATGGAAATCACTTGATATCATGAGTAATCTAAGGTTATGCAGTGTCGAAAATGCTTCAGGATCCCAAAATGCCTCACAAGATATGGACGAAATCACACCTTGTATTTTTCTTGTGCCTTGATAAACACCACTATGCAATGTTGAAAATGGCTTAGGACCACAAAATGCCTCAAAAAATTGGGACGACATCATACCTTCTATTTCTTTTGTACCCTGATAAACAAGATTAGCCACAAGAAAAATGGTATCAAATTTACTATACAAGAAATTAATAAGATGTAAAATGCATTAAAACCTAATAATATGTAATATTAAAACCAATAAGAGATAAGATTGGTACTCACCCAATTGTTTTGCATAACTTTATCAATATCTTCATTAGTCCACAATCTACTACGATTTCCAACACAATTAGAGGACTTGTCCACAATAATTTTCCTACCCATTTGTTCCACCAAATCATGCATCACTAAAATACTGTCATATTCCTTCAGCATAGATTTTTCTTGGAGAGTTGTTATTCCAATTTTTCCATTAAAACCACAACTTTCTAATATTTCTGTTATTTTGTTTTTGCTCCAACCATTGAAGAAGCAAGCAATATCTAAAAATATTGCTTGTTCTGTATCGGTTAATGCATCAAAACTTATTTTAAGTATCCCAAATATATCTTTCTGTGGATCTTTTTTCAACATATCCAAAGCATCCTCCCATTGCACAGTACTTCTTCCACAGAAAAAGGAGCCCAAAACAGAAAGAGCTAAAGGAAGGCCTCTGGCATAATCACAAACAATTTTAGATGGCCGCAAAAGATGCTCTTGAGGTTCTTCTCTTCCAAATGCTTTTTGACAAAAGAGTTGAAGGGATTCATCTGCATTCATAGTTTCAACCTCATGTTGATATGCTACACGTGCTCCTCGCAACAAGTCTAAATGTCTAGTTGTTATGATCACCCTACTCCCAACACCAAACCAATTTGGGTTACTAGCCAAATTTTCTAGATGGGCTGTATGGCTAACATCATCAAGGATAAGTAAAACCTTTTTATTGCAACAAAGTTTTTGGATTATTTTCTTCCCTTCATGGCTGTTTTCAATTTCCATGCTTCTTCTTTTGAGATTTGAAAGAAATAGACTTTGTAACTGAACCTCGCCACCATCTCTTTCTGAAGCTGCCCTAATATTGTGAAGAAAGCAACTAATATCAAATTGGTTACGATATTTCTCAAAAACAGCCCTAGCAATTGTTGTCTTCCCAACACCCCCTAAGCCCCATATTCCTACAAATCGAACATCATTCGTGCCTATCTCCAATAGTGGCTCTAGTTGTTCCACTTTATTGTCAATTCCAATGAGTCCTTCAGTATAAGGTGGCAGTCTAGGACGTAATTTGCTCCACATCTCCTCAACCAGCATGTCAACAAGTTCCGCTTTAGACCTACAAGTTACAATAACGTATGTATGAATGGCCATGTGAAATATAACTTTTGATTTATTCTGTAATTATACTACCTCCGTTCCCAATTATAAGACCTACAAATGATGTCTTATAATTAAGACTAGAGATAGTACAATATTTGTTAATCCAATGTTTGCAATTCTTAATATTCTTTTCCTTTTAGATTATCAACACATTGAAATAATTTCACTATTGGCAGCGGCCCAAACATGCAGTTCTTGTTCATTTTTTTTCAACGAGCGCTTTAATTCAATTGTGATGTTAAAGCTTTTCAGTTCAAGGATAAAAAAATTTTGGATATGAAAAAAATAAAAATTAAAAAAATACACATTTAAAATTTAAAATTTTTAACTTCAAATACAAAAAAAAGAATAATTATAAAATTTATTAGAAAAAATGATGACATAACTAAAAATGACCTGGTACTGTGAAGTTGATTCCACAATACTCAAAATTTAACTAATAGTATCAATGTCAAATAATTGTATTAAAAAAAGTTTTACAATTCTTGTTTCTACAAAAGTTAGCAGTGAAAACTCATTTATTAAATAGTGGTAAAGAGAAATGGAAAGAACGATTGAATAAACAATAAAAAGAATAATGACACTTGTAATATGAAGTATAATTGCGTATTACAACCAAAATGTTCATCTTAATAATTAATTTTTAAAATTTTTAAAATAAGAACACATACATGTCAACCAAATAGTCTAACTACATCTGGATCAATATATGTTCCATAAAGTGATTATATAAATATAAAATATTTGTTGCATAATTTTACCCGATAAGAAATTAACTCACCGATTCTTATTACAATCCCAACCAGATAAGTCGGAAACCTTCCTGAGAGAAACTCTCCAACTTTCCATGACCTCATTGTCCCTCTGAAGCATTTGATGCCCATCAAAAGCTTTGGCAAAACTTTCTCTTTGATGTCGTACATCAGAAGGATTTACATCATAAAATATGGGGAAAACTTGTCGAGACAAATTGTTTCTTGAGTAAAGAATATGTCCGAGCTCATTTAAACACCATGAAGAAGAGGCATAATTTTTTGAGAGAACAACAATTGCAAACAGAGAACCCTCAATTGCTTGTTTGAGTTCTTTGGAAATGACTTCTCCTCTCTCAAGTTCTTCATTATCTCTAAAAACAGTGAATCCACTCCTCTTTAAGGCATGATACAAGTGGTCAGTGAAGCCGTTACGAGTATCTTCACCCCTAAAACTCAAAAAGATGTCATACTTCCAAGTTCTTTGGGTTGAACTGGAGTTGGAAGAATTTGAAGAAGATGCTGCTTGGTTACTTGCCATAACTGTTTAAGCCAATAATTTGATGAACCAGCAATATTACGACCTACAACATAACTAGACCATTTCATTTGGCTAAAGGGAACAAATGAAATATGAGATGATCAGATTGCAAGGGGAAAAAAATGGAAAAGAAAAATAGTGAAAGTTGTAGATGTATGATATACTGACCTGGGCTTACAGCTAGGTGAAGTGTCTAAACTCTGATTCTTAATTTATACAAGCTTTCAAGTGTCTACCTTCCTGATGGTGTTATTAGATGGCTGAAACTAGAATTTTCTTGCAAGTTTCTCACAATTTCTCTCTGTTTCTTTTCTATCTTCCTCTTTTCTTCTTCTTTCCTCCCTCTTTTTTGCAACAAGGGAAGAGAGCTAAAGGCCCTCCTCATTGTGAAAGGTTGTTTGGAGAAAAGGCCGAAAGGGTCCACAATCTTCCTTCCATGCTCCTTCCCTCACCACGACACGCTAGTGATCACTTTGACTTGCATAACCAGCTTCCCCCCCCCCCCAAACAATATTTTCCCTTTTTTTTTAACACAAATTAGCTTAACGGATTTGAACCGTTACATCTTTGCAACAACCACCAAAAAATTGGTTTTATTTGAATGATGAGTGACCTATAAAATTAATGAGTTTCCAAACAAAAACGCGTGATCTATAAAAGAGGGAATAAAAGAAACTTGAATCTGCGAGTTAGCTGAAAAATAAATTTAAAAAAAGATTGAGCAATGCCATTAATTCTTGTCAAAATACCAGCTTTTGTGAAAAAGAAAAATAAATGAGGAGAGAATCGAAATAATAGAAGATCATATTTGTTTATTTATAATTAGTACCCTCTATAAATTGTGGAACTAGTTTTGTTACTCATCGCAGTGACAAGTATCATAATACTCATTACTGCTGTAAAATCTACACCACTCAAATAGAGTTTTAATGGTCTGTATTTAAAATTTTTAACCAACAGATTTTAAATAAAAAATTATTTTTTAAAAAATTTTACAGTTAAAATATTACATTTATTTTGGATTATCTGCTTATGAAAAGAAAACATTTTTTAGAAAAATAAAAATATGGAAGAATTAAGTCTCGGCCATACATATTAAATTGAAACGGTTGAGATTCAATGAGTATCATGGTACTCATCACTGTATTTGTTAAGTCTTCCATATATTTACTTTCAAGTTGGGCATTGGAAGGAAACAGAGAAGTAGGTTTTTTCTTTCGGGGGGCTGAGCAAAAGGCGATTCTGTTTGGTTTACAACCGAATAAAGCTATTTGTGTTTACAAATCGAATCGAGTTAAGGTTAATAAGTAAATACCCCGGTGATTTTTCCGTTAATAATTAAATGCACACGTAGAACCCCTGTGATTTTCGTAACTATCAAGCATGAAACCCACCCCAATATCCATATTATGTGTGTTTGATTCGTTTTCAATCGACATTTTCATATGTGCGTCGTCTAGAGATTAAAATCTGGATGTTATGTACTTATGTTATGCTACCTCTGGGATCTTAATATGAAAGCTAATTTAATTTTGAAGTTGGTTCTAAATATAAGACTCCAATTTACTTTGTCTCTCATATTTATCTATTGTTTTCAAAGTAGTCCTTGTAGTGGTTGCACATATTAAAGATTTCATCAAATGGTTGTTCTAGCTAATATATATATAATTAATAAAGATATTCTCATTAAGAAAGATAACACATATTTATTATAAATAACCAACTTAACAAACTTTTTAAATCCTGTTTGGCAAAGCATTTGGAGAGGGTAAAAATAAATTTTCGGTGTAATAAGTCAGTTTGCAAATTTGAGAGATGTTTGTCATATCTTTTGGCTTGACTTGTAAGTCAAAAGCTACTTTTTTAAGCACTATTACAAAAGTACCTAAAGCTTACTTATAATTTATACAAAAATAGCTTTTTGGAATTAAAAGATATTTTTATCCTTATATTGTTCTTATGCTTCTCTCTATCTATTCTTTGTGCTTCTCAATCAATTTTTAGTTATTTATTTTTAGTATTCTTTTAAATAAAATTTTTTTTTAATAATTTTTATAATATTTTTATTTTATATTTGCATAAATTATATAGAGTATATCATCCAATTAATTATGTAATATTATTTGGTTTAAAAATTTTCACATTACTATAATGTCTAATTTAAATATATTTTATTAATTAAATATAACTTTTGTAAATTCATACTTTTAATCATTTTTCATTATTTAATAAAAGTCATACCCATTTTGGTCATTCTACAAACTAAATTTACTTATTGAATCATAATCCAAATAATTTTTTTACTTTACAAATTAACTTTTGCAAATGTCTATCCAAATATAAATTACATTACCCAATATAACTTTTATCTAATCTCACTTTTTTAAAAGTCAGATTGAAAATAACTTATTTTTTCTAGTGATAGTCAAACTCTCAATCTATTCAAATTAATTAACTAGCTTTTATATTTAACATAGGATGTAGTACAGTCAATATCTGATAAATACTATTACCTTCTGTTCATATAAATTTTCAACTATCAAAGGAAAAGCAAGGGCCTGTTCCTCATGCCCACGTCCCTTCCACTTTTCTTCCACTTTTCTTTTTCTAAGGCTACCTTTAATCTTTTGACCATCTAAAAATACTCATTACTTCGGATGCATTTGGATTGTTAAATGACCAAGGTCTTTCGGTGTTGTGTTCTCATTCTTTCACATTAAAATATGACCAAGGAATGATGAGAGACATGGGATGGGGAGGCGCGTTATTTGGGATGGGTCCCTCCCTATTCTTTTCACATGACTTCGGTCACGTCAACCTGACGTAAACGCTCCGATTCTTCTCTTCATATGTTCCGTACAATTTTAACTTATCCTAACGGCTTGTTTATGTTAATTGGGAAAAAAATAGAGAGATTAAGGAAGGGAAAATCACGTAAAAAGATTAAAAATTGTAATATTTCAATTCAGCACTTGAAAGGAAAGACAGTGGCGCCTATTTTAATATTTTACAAATACAGTTGAATGACTAAAATGTTTTTCTATCATATTTTTCTAAAGAAAAAAAACAGGTTTTAAACTTGTCATTACTAGTATATTTTTTGTCTTTAGTTGTTCAACACCTGTCATTGTCAGTTCATAACTTATTACTCCCTCCGTTCCTTATTATAAGAGACATTTGATGCTTATAACATGTTTCTAAATATAAGAGACACTTAAAAGTTGTCTCTACTTTTTTGTGTTGATTTCCTATTTTACCCATATTTATTGTCTCCAACTCACACTCTCTCTCCTTCCCACTTCTCTTTCTTTTAAGAATTTACTATTGTTCTCTCTCATGCTCTCTCTCCTTATTAATGAGGGTATTTTTGGGAAAAAAATTATACTTTTTACACATTCATTGTTCTTAACTAATTTTAACTGTTTTTTTTATCAACGTAATTCGGTTATTCGTCTCTTATAATAAGGAACGGAGGGAGTAATAAATAACTTGTTATTATCAATACATTTCTTGTCATTTGTTGCTTAACACTTGTCATTACCAGTTGACAATTTATTAATAAACTTTTTAATATAAGGGCATTTTTATTATTTAACTACATTTGTAAAATATCATATTAGGCATTACTTCTTTTACTGATATTTTGACCTCTTAGGTTCCTAATTAATTAGGATATAACAATTTCAAACTTATTTGTATGTCATTTTCCCATTGAAAAAACTAATAGCCTATGCTGGAAAAGTAATTTGTTTGAAAACATTATAGGGAAAATGACGGGTACAGATTTTTCCCTTTCCCTTTTCTTTAGTTTTTTTCCCCCTTCAGAACTTCATATTTACCCTTAAATTAAGAAAAAGAGCTGGTTCTGACTTCATACTCCCCTCCTAATTAACTTTATTTGGGATTTTCAAAAGATAGGCAAATTTTACAACTAATTTGCAATTATAAACTCTGGATTCCAAAAACACTCATGCTCCAAATAAATGCAATACGCAGAAGAAAGCCTCCATCTATTGAATTCACATGAAGCAACCACTTTTTGTTTGTCTTTAATGTATTTATTCTTCTATATTAATTAAAATCTACTTTTATATGATATGAAAAATCACTTAAAAAATGTCCTTGATCGATTTAACATAAAAACTAGGGATGAAAATCAAGATGAAACTATCAGGATTGAGGAAGGAAGATTTAACATAAAAACTAACTCACCATTGCCTCCTTGATCAATTTTTTGACTTTGTAACGGTAGACACCAATTTTTTCTTGTTCTAAACTCTTACACAAAGAATGGCCAAAAATCCTTATCTCTCTAGATTTCTAATGAAATGGGCATTAGAATCATTTTATAAAATTTTAAAATCCCTCTTTGGGTCATATAATCTGATTAGGATTTTGACAAATTCAGTAACCCAAATAAAAATTTGAGTTATTTAACTATCTTTTTAAAAAAAATTTCCTAAAAAATTGAATATTTTTACATAGTTATCTAATTCTTTTTAATACCACTACAGTGCCCAGACCCAACAATCATATATATATATATATATATATATTGTGCGTGTGTGTGTAATTGTTACAATTTTTGGGATAGGGTCCTTTTTTATAAGTTACTGTCTGTACTTATCTAAAAATTTAATATATTTTTTAATTTTTCTCCTTAATTAATTACATTCTCTTTTATCTTTTTTATGCCCATTGTCTTTTTTACTCACCCTCTCCATGAATAAGGTATTATCTTTTTTAAGAAAATACATCTCCTAAACTTTTATTGTCTTTAATTAACCAATTTGAATTATTCAACCAAAAAAGTTAACCAATTTGAATTAATTTTTTTATTAATGTAATTTAATTATTTATAACTTATTTATATATAGGACGGAGAGGCTATCATATTGCTTGAACCATTATGTTATAGAAGAGGGCCCAAGTGTCTAGAGCTAGGTTATATTTTGTCTGCACTGTGCCTTTCTGTTTTTTTAGGCACATGTATCATTTTGTTAGAAATAATCCTATTTGAGATATTGTCGGGTACTAAATATGATCACATTTCTCAACAAGGATTCCTATCTTGGTTTACTATGTTATGAAAGACTAGCCCTCCATTTCGCTGCTAAGCCCAATCCTGTTGGTTACTAAATTGTCTCTTATACAAAATATAGAA